ACGAGATGGATCGCGATCATCTCTTTTTCCAACCCATAACATCACAACTGCACTCACGTGGCATTTGAATGGTTTCTTTAGGCAATTCACGAGTAACTAATCCATCAAAGAGACCTTTACCAGCTTTTAACAATCTCTAGCTAGCTACAGGATATAGCTTTTCACAATCTTTATGGTCGCTACTCGCTAGTGTAGTGTGAGCTCCTGGAAGCATGGCTAGTGAGCATATTAGTCGGGTTTTCACAGTTTTTGTGTGCTCAAGAGGGAGGGGTCCGCCAGTGAGTAGGTGCTCAAGATGCTGTGCACTTTGATCTTACCGCCAACAGTTTAGTGGAGTAAGAGGTTGTACTAGCCTTTAGTGCTAAGCACGTTGATTCTCATTTGCTTCAAACTGGTATATGCATCATACTTAGCAGTTGTGTTACATACTTAGCAAGTTGACTCGCGCTAACACAGTGACTAGCATTGGTCAACATATTTAGTAATGAATATTATAATCACAAAACTACCTTCATTTTTCTAAACCATATCGTTATTGTATTAACCTCTTTATCAAAATTATTGTAGATTTAGATGTGGTCAGAGTCAAATATCTCCATCTTCGACCATCGATTTAAAGTTTATATAGTATAAAAAACATATGTTTTATTATATGTGATGAAAGCATTCTCATGATAAATCAAAGAACATAGAACTTATGTTGTTAAACTATACAAATATTTGATATACCAAGTGCTAAACATAGAACATTGGTTGTCCATCTATGAGAACTAACACACGTCAACCCTTCAACACACAAAGTGTTAAAAATTTCCATGGTAGCCAAATTCTCAATTCTTCAATTAAAGCATGTCTAATTTCAGTATTCCCGGATATATGCATTTCCAATGCTACGCCACTTTTGTAACCATCCTTATCACAAGATGAGAGAGAGAGAGAGAGAGAGAGAGAGAGAGACCTTTTTAGGAGTTCCATTAGGGGTCGAGTTCATCTCTAAGTAATACAAAATCACGAGAGTCTTTAATACATTTTCAGCTCTCATTCCATTAGACATGAACAAGAGATTTAAATTAAAATTCTGCAATTGAATATATGGTTAACTTTGTTTGAATTTTAGAAGCATCAGTTTCACTTGTAAGAATCTTGGAAAATTCATTAGAATTCAAGGTTTTGGGTTATAGTATTCATATAATTGTTTTATAACATAGTGCTATGTATACTGAAAGTTTTAGTTGCTTGTGAACAATATATACATTTTACAATTAAATTCGTAACTTCGAAATGCAAAGCATACAAACACATGCAAAATTTCGACATGATTCTCATGGTGCGTTTTATTATGCTCAGTAACATGCAAAGGAAAATTGGCATGTTACATGTATGATTTACTCTTTTTTTTCTTGCGAATGATGTATGTTATACTTAACAACGCTGAAGCATGATTATTGACCGAAATATTGGCATGACAGAAGATAAGTTACATGAAGCAAAATCAATTACAATACCTTGTTTTTGAATAAATATTATTTGATACATCATAAACTTAGTTTCCCCAACGCATGGCCGTCTCTCTTGATCCCGTCAACAAAAGATTCGAGATTCATCTTTGCTGTACGTCTTGCTTTGCCCTTCATGACTCTCTCCCTCAACTCGTCCACCTTCTGTTTCAAACGCTTGCCGTCTTCTCCTTCCATGATCCTCTTGACACAATCTTCCACAACACTTCTGTCGGTGCTACTAAGTCTGATCCCGATCCCCCACGTCTTAACGATGTACTTGCAGTTGATGAACTGATCACCGGACACGGGGTAGCACAGCAGACGCACACCATGCTGTATGGCCTCTGTTGTCGAGTTCCACCCGCAGTGCGTGAGGTAGCACCCCAGAGCCCTGTGCTTCAGGACATCTTGTTGTGGCGCCCATGGGACGATCTTACCGCGGCCGGCGACTGCCTCCGCGAACCCGTTAGGGAGGCCTCCCCGCCATGACGGCTCGTCCTTCAGCGTCCACAAGAACGGCAAGCCCGTGGCCTCCAGACCCAGGGCGAGCTCGCAGATCGCGTCTTGCCCGATCGACGCAACCCAGCTTCCGAACGAGACGTATATCACAGATCCTGCTTGCTGACGGTCCAGCCAGTCCATGCAGGTCTCGTCCGACTTCCACATGCTAGGTTTCTTGAGCGGCGACTCATGCAAGAGTTTCTTCGCTGTGTGATCAAATATGCCGTTGGTTGGCAGTGGTCCAACTTGGAGAATTCGCCGATCCTGCGGCTGTTGAAGCTCGCCGTCGTCTTCGCCGGGGAAGCTGTTGACTAGGATGGGGTGGAGGATCTTTGCACGCGCCATTATCTGACGCCAGAGAGTGAATCTTGACTTCTGGCACGCTGCATCCCCGACGAGCCATGGCAGATCTGAGGTACTTAGCTCTAGTTCTGCAGGCAATACGCTGATGCTGTCTCCAATCAGGTGGTCTCCGTTTACTTCAGCTTCGCCATTGGCCAATGGTTTTGTCGATGTAGGGATGCCTACATGTGACAATGAACAAAATAAATAACTGGCTACGGAAGTCAATTGCATTTCGCAAGAACACTTCATTCTACAAATGTGATGAGTTATTAGACATTATGCTGAATAGTAATAATTTTTTATGCAATATAAACGTGCAAGCCCATCTGTTTTATGCTCTCTGCTGACCTGGTTGTCTAGCTCGGAGCCCCACGCTGCTTCGACATTTGAACTCGAATCCAAGAGGAAGGAAGCTTCTTTAAATACATATTTTGAGCAACTTGAACATGTTCTAATAGATCACGACGAACGGCAAGCAGACTAATCACGTAACAGCTTTATACTAGTACCTAAGGCTAAAGTCAACTCTTGCATCATGTGTTGCCAGCTCCCTGCAATTATTTTACCCTCATGGGTAACCACCCTTAACTGTTACATTGATAGACATGACTTTCGTGCTAGGATATATGCAAATATCGATCTGATGTTAGTTACATATCACAAGCTTCAAATGTCGGTTTGCGACGCTCTTGGCCATTTGCGATTCAAACTTGAAAAAATGCAGTGCCTCTCGCTTTCTGGATCCATCTTTGCATCAATATGGACTATCTAAATTAGACAAGTACACCTAGAACTAACTTCTACGATCCCTGAGCTGCTGAGCACATAATCAAAGACCTTTATTCATATTGTATACGCTGCAGACAGCTATTGTGCATTGATGTTTGAAGCCTGACCGCAAGGATAATGCATGAATAAGTTAGCTAGCTTATGGATCCTTAGAGTACCAATTACAATTACACAGTTGTTAGTAAGATACCAATGCGTACATAAAACAATGTTCGTAGCAGCTGGTTTTGTCACGCGGAGGCATGTGAGCACACAACGGCACCTGAACGTGCCCGACACAAATTTATCATGTGAAGCTAGCTAGCGAGTAGGTGCAAAGCTAAAAATCCATGGGAATTAAGGATCTAAGAGCGAAATAGATGCATGGACACCAGGACACGCGCCGGACATACCGCAATCTGAGATCAGCCCCTTGGCGATGAGCTCCGGGATGGCGGCCACGACGCGGTAAGTCGCCAGCATCGCCGTCCAGAACCCCACGGCCGGCACGCCGCACCGCTCGGCCACGGGGACGGCCCACGACGCCAGGACGTCCACGACGAGGCACGCCGCGCCGCGGCCCGTCAACGCGCGCCGCGTCAGCATCTCCTCCAGCCGCTCCGGCATGTGGTGCTCCATGGCGTGCGCGAAGCCGGCGAAGCCCGGGGGCTCGCCGCTGCCGTCGTCGGGGACGCCGCTATCGATGGACGCGAGCTCCACGCCGGGGCCGTCGTCCTGGATGGCGCCGACGATGCGGCGGTGGACGAAGTCCGGGACGGCGACGGTGGCGTCGATGCCGCGCGCGGCGAGGGCGCGCGCCAGGAGGAGCATCGGGGAGACGTGGCCTTGCGCCGGGAACGGCACGAGGACGACGGTGGCAGGGAGGACTGGCACTGGCTCGGGCTCGGCGCCCATGACGATGACGTAATGCCGGCGGCGGTCGATCGGCTCCGTCGCGCGCGTCGTCAGTGGACTTCGGCTATGCTGGCTTCGATCACGGGCGATGTGATGGTAGTATTTAAAGATGGCGCTGTGCAACCTGGGCTTGATTTCCTGGTTTTCTTATTGCCTAATTGTCGCTTGAGCGCTGCTATACATCCCACCGGATTGTCCGACTCACGTCCCGTTGTTAAACACAAAGTAAACGCTTCTGCATTTTTTTTTTTGGTGGAAAACAAGGCACTCTTCTGGATATATATCTGACATCATTTGTAATCCAACTTGAGCAATTTGTCGAGCTGAACAATTTGGCTGTTGAGTTGTCAAAATGCTAGGCTCTCCTTCGATTTGTTAATGCCAACTGTTAGCATGCCCTCCGCGAAGGTCAAATGGAACAATGTATTGTAGCAATCAAGAAACATGTAGACTTGTTCAAGAAAATATTGACCCAAAAATCTATCGCAACGAAAGTAAAATGCTGTAGAGCTACAGGAACATGTCTGAAACCATAAATGCATAATCAGCTTGTTCCAGTTATTTCTTCAACATATCCGATATAGTGTTCGTAATTATTTCTTCAGCCGCCGCTACAGTATAACAACTGCGATTCATCTTGCCGAACAGGGTGAACATGCCAACTTGGGAGGCACGGCGTAACATCCATCTTCTTCCCTCCGCTTGTTATCCATGGACCCACATCCTATGCCTTGGTTCAGCCTATCGAGATTGATCATGATGCATAATTTACACCTATATAGTTGCTCGTAAGAAGAGACCACCTTGTAGGGGGCATAGTATGAACGAAATGTGTGAAATGGCTGAGCATCATTTGACGAAAGCATTCTCATTACACTAAGAGCCCTTAACAATATTAGTACATCGAAAGAAAGTCCTATACATTTCGAAGAAAAAAAATCCTATACATGACTATTGCCTTCGTCCGCGAAAGGTCCTGTAGCCTAGTGGTTACAAGAGCCTCAGTAGCACCTGAGGTACTTGGTTCGACTCCCGGTGGGAGCGAATTTTCTAGGATTTAACGACTTTGTGCTTTCAGCGGTAGGCAATGTGGCAGTTGACAGCGAGACATCAGTGGTGACTTTGTCAATCTGAATAATTTACTGGCTCAGTCTTCGAAGATGCTCATAGAGGTAGGGTTTGCATATATACGTTCATAGGGTGGGTACGCGTACGTTGTGAGTGTCTGAGTTATACTGTGTAATCAAAAAAGAAAAGACTATTGTCTTCAGTCCAAGAACACAAGGTATTAAGGCACACCTTATTCACACCCGTCTCTAAAATTAGGATTTGATCACAATTTTCTCCTAATACATACTGCATATTTGAATATATGACACAATGACTTAGTTTTTATGTACAATTTTGTTTATGAGTTATACAAAGGCTCGAGGGAAGTTTAGTCAAGCATGGATATGCGTATAGTAAGTTATACACATCCATGTGCCCATGCAGCAACGGCTTGAACAATTATAGAGAATGGACGGCGCATCATGCATGCTAGTAGTAAATTTCGTTTGGTAGAACGATATGATGGTCAATTGTTCAGCAGGAGGTCAGCTAACGAATGGACATTCTACAACCAGCTGCTAGTCTGCTACAGCTACTGGGTGGTTCTGCAAAGTCAAACTATAATAACATGGGCCTAAAGTATTTCCAGAAAGAATACAACGGAGGCCCATAAACGATGCCACAAAAGGCCACATGTCGGTTGTATCCATGGCTCTTTGATGATGAGGCGGGGCAGGCAGTCGACCACGATGAGGAAGAGGTATGGAAGGGCTCATCCTGCCGTAGGTGGCTGCATTGGATCCAGGGGGCGGGGTACCCCATTGAGCATGATATCAAGAACCAGAATTGCTGTCCCGCTTCTGCCTGAAATCTGGCGAGCCACGTCACTGCAATTTGTGGACCGTCCTTTCTTCGCGATCCGGCCGTTGCGCGACGGACATGTGGCGTGATAATTTTGCGGTCAAACACCTGCGTTTTGAGAAGGATTCCGTTGTGCGAGGGAAACATGCAAATGAACAGTAAAGCAGTTCATTTTTTTTGCGTTGAGACGCTCGTGTTTGTCCGTAATCAAGACGAAAAAGAGAAAATGTAAAATTGCCATTCAACTGCCGCCGTCGTTCACGACTTTGAGCGTGGAAAATATGAGCACTCTGCAGAATTGTCGGGTCCTCTTTCGTTTTCAAACCATCGCCGCTTTCTTTTACCACGACTTCGTCGCCTCGCCGGGAGTACAAGATTATCCTCCCGTCGCCGGTCTCCCAAAGCCCACTCCAGCTCTGCTCTGCCCCGCCCATCGACCTGCTCAGCATACATGCGTGATGCTCTGCTAGGGATTCGAAACACGGACATCCGCCAGCGATTGAGGAGAGGAAGCGGCGGCGGCGGGGAGGCGGTGGGATGGATGGGCACGGCGGGGGCGGGGGCAGCTGACGCGAACGCCGTCGTCGCTGCTGCGCTCCCCCACGGCGTGTAACTTCTCCTCGTTCCAGGCGGTGGTGGTCGAGGACCCGGAGCCGGAAGACAAGAAGGTGCGGCCGCACGCCTCCAAGGCCCCACTCCTCGCCCTCGCCCTCCCTCTCGCCTTCCTGCTCCGCGGCGCCGGCGGCGACCACTGCCTCGCCCTCCTCGCCGCCGCGGCCCGCCCGGGTACGTCGAGGTCTACTCCCCGCGCCGCCCGATCCCTGGCTCCCTGCCGTGTGGCGCCAATCCGAGGAGGACATCCACGCCGCCGCGGATGGCGTCGTCTTCGTCCGCATCTTCGTCTTCAGGTTCGGGACCCCTTCCTCCGCCCGCGCTATTTGTTCCCCATTCCTTTCTTTGCTCATGGAGTGTGCTCCTGGGTTCTGTGTGTGTGCAACATCAGGGTCTTTACGACGGCCGTATGATGGAAACGAAGATTGGATGTTGCCTGGAGTGTTGCAGAAACAGAGTGACGCCCATGCAGCCGTGCTGCCAAGGATTTCGCTGAACGTGCTGCTCAAGATCTCATCAAGAATCTGGCAAAGACAAGCTAGTAGGTGAATCAGGCCTCGTGAGCCACGAGACGACGCCAGAACTCAACAAATTGTTTCTTTTTTTTTTGCCTTACCTGCTTAGTTTATGACAAATTGGACCTTCATGTATAATCTGCTTGTCCATTTGTCTTTCAGGTCTATTTTGGCAATTTTTTGCAAAGTCATGATGAACAGAGCGCCTGGGCAAGGTCTTATACAGGCTGAGAGGATTCCAGCGTCCATTGCAATTTTTTACAGCATCTGTTCAAGGAAAACATATAGAAATTGAATTTCATGTAGAGACCCTTGGGTTAGTATTACCAATTTTCATCCTTGTATTGCTCCCTGAACTATTTGTCCATTATGACTGAAAATTCATGATAAGGCCATTATCTTAATTTGATGGGTGATAGCAATGTGCAATTGTTATGAACCCTCTGCTACAATCTCATGTGAGTATGAACTGTTAATTGGATTGTGCCTACATCTGAAAATAAATTAGATTGCTGCATGTATTTTGGAGTGTTCATGTATATATCGACTTTTCATAAACTAATAAACAAGAAAAATAGGTGCCACCAAGGTTACATATGAACATATGTCAATGTTGATGAGCTTTTGCTTGATGTCTCCCCTTGCAGCTCCATCTTGTCACAACTGCAATTTGAGACAGAGCTTTGGTGTATCGTTGTGTCAGGTTTTGACTATATTCTTAACAAGTTGTAAAGCAAGGTTGAGTGGTCTTGATACCTCCAAGCATCCTTGCATCAGAGAATGATTTCTTGTTTTTTATAACATAGAAAATTTGAGTACGTGTACTTGTTCTGAAGAATAATAGAAGGAAAATAAATATGTTCATCCTATACTGAGTTTTCTAAGTGTGATGTTTCAGCTGCAATGGTTGAATAGTCAATGTTTTCAAATGTAATGTTTGAATAGCTTCCTCATGTTCATATTCTACCTTCCAGTTTACATTGTGCTCCATCAGCTTTTCTGCTGTTGGCTGGCTGTTGATCAATGCATAAAAATTTTGCAGAATGGAGTGGGTTTGTTTGATTTCATGTCCTGTTAATGAACTAAACTTGAATGCTCAGTAATTTGACATGCATGGTGTGTGTTACTATTTATAATGAGAAAAGTCACAACTTTCATGTACCATGAATGTAGAACTATGGAGGGTGTCGTTTTTTCTTCCCTCATGAGCTGACTTTGAATTTGACGATGTGTGCTATGTCGCCTTTGTCTTCCCTCATGCATTGAACATGAATAGTGCCTTTGAACGTGACTTATGTGTCGCTTTTGGTTGACGATGTGCACATGCATGTGTTGTTCTGCCAGATCCCTTTTCTTCCCTATAAGTAGTGTGTTGCACTGATTTTGGTTCCTGCTATATAGCATGTGGCTGACTTCGAGTAAATACACTGAGACAATGGTAAAATTTCAGTTACAAGCTTGGTTTGCAGAAAGGAGAGATTTTTTTTATAGCTAAGTTGTGAATTACTAAATATTTTCATCTCTGAAATAGTTCTCACTTTTCAGAGTACATTAGTCACGCAGATCAGATTTGTAAGTATAAATGCACACGATCTACTCATCTATTGGTTTTCAAGTACTCATATATTGTTTTTACAACTTTGGTAGGTTCAGACTGTTTTAGATAGCATATCTTTTGGTGGATGAATAAATATAATATTGCACAGTGAAATGCATCTTGAGGTTGAATTTCCAATTTACTGTCACTGTTTTGATTCAGTTTTTTTCCTTTTGGGAGCAGATTGCAAATGATTCCATGTTCTGAAGCAAGATGAACAGTTCATCTGCATGAAAAGTGTGCTCCACCTTTTATTCACTATGGTAGATTGCCGAATGGAGATGTGTCTACCTTTTATTGCAAACTTTGTTTGTAAATATACTGGGGATGTGTCTACCTTCTGATTTTTGTGGTAGATTACTGGTACTGGCATTTCATTTTTTTAATAGGTGAAAGCTTTTGTTTCGGTTCCTTAAGAATTTTGTGACTTCCTTTGGAGTTCTGAGCCTAGGGCCGTGGAGCATTCTGTTGAGTTTGTTCGATAGAAGTCGCTTGCATATATAAAAAAAATATTATTATTTCAACAAGGCAGATGTAGGTCAAATGGTTGTGTGTGCCTCTTGATTGCGGGCATGGTTTTGATTTGGTGACTCAATTTTTAACTGATTATATGTTTAGTATCAATTGATGGATACTCCTGTTATGTCACACGATTTAAGTAACTTTTAGCGTGAGACGGGCGCGCCATGGGCGCGCCACGGCTTCTAATATGTCTTATGGGTGACCATGCAATCTCCGAAGTCGAGCGCCTCCTTGATGGTCGAGCGGTTGGCTTCTGAAAGTCCAACTTGAGGACCACAGTGGAAGCACGATGTTTGTGACGGAAGGACAATTATTTTAAAACATAAGGAGCCTTTATTGGAGCATAGAATGTATTGACACTCACTATTTAAAACAATTAGCTTTATCCATTTTATTTCTCATTCTCACACACAATCCATCGAAACAGGCCAAATAAACACCACCGTTGTTTCTACAAACATGAAAACACACACCAAAAGTTTTTCCCTCACATCAACCCGGGACTTAGGTTAATCCTGAACTTCAAAATTAATCTATACATTGTTTCAAGATACTACTTTCATGCATCTGGAAAAAAGAATAAACGACTGGTCACAGAAAAGGAGGATAATATGTTGGCTAAGCTTTTGAAATAGTACTGCACATGATATACCTAATAACACAGAAGCAAACATGATTAGTACTGCAAATATTGGCATGTCGATATAGATGATAAGTTACATTTTGCAAAATCAATTACAATACCTCTTGTTTCGATAATTTTTTTTCAGTTGAAACGTCAAAGTTTTGATTTCATTAATTCGTGGCCTTGCCTCTTAATCCCATCAATAAGAGATTCGAGATTCATCTTTGCTTTACGTCTTGCTCCACCCATCATGACTCTTTCC